ACACTGGGGGCCAGGTGAGGGTATACACTGGTTGTCTGTACACAGTTACACACTGGGGACCAGGTGAGGGTATACACTGGTTGTCTGTACACAGTTAGGCAGCTGGGGGCCAGGTGAGGGTATACACTGGTTGTCTGTACACAGTTACACACTGGGGACCAGGTGAGGGTATACACTGGTTGTCTGTACACAGTTAGACGCTGGGGACCAGGTGAGGGTATACACTGGTTGTCTGTACACAGTTACACACTGGGGGCCAGGTGAGGGTATACACTGGTTGTCTGTACACAGTTAGACACTGGGGGCCAGGTGAGGGTATACACTGGTTGTCTGTACACAGTTACACACTGGGGCCCAGGGAGGGTATACACTGGTTGTCTGTACACAGTTACACACTGGGGGCCAGGTGAGGGTATACACTGGTTGTCTGTACACAGTTACACACTGGGGGCCAGGTGAGGGTATACACTGGTTGTCTGTACACAGTTAGAAGCTGGGGGCCAGGTGAGAGTATACACTGGTTGTCTGTACACAGTTACACACTGGGGGCCAGGTGAGGGTATACACTGGTTGTCTGTACACAGTTACACACTGGGGACCAGGTGAGGGTATACACTGGTTGTCTGTACACAGTTAGATGCTGGGGGCCAGGTGAGAGTATACACTGGTTGTCTGTACACAGTTACAGACTGGGGGCCCGGGGAGGGTATACACAGGTTGTCTGTACACAGTTAGACGCTGGGACCAGGTGAGGGTATACACTGGTTGTCTGTACACAGTTAGACGCTGGGGGCCAGGTGAGGGTATACACTGGTTGTCTGTACACAGTTACACACTGGGGGCCAGGTGAGGGTATACACTGGTTGTCTGTACACAGTTACACACTGGGGGCCAGGTGAGGGTATACACTGGTTGTCTGTACACAATTAGACGCTGGGGGCCAGGTGAGGGTACACACTGGTTGTCTGTACACAGTTAGACGCTGGGGGCCAGGTGAGAGTATACACTGGTTGTCTGTACACAGTTACACACTGGGGCCAGGTGAGGGTATACACTGGTTGTCTGTACACAGTTAGACGCTGGGGACCAGGTGAGGGTATACACTGGTTGTCTGTACACAGTTAGACGCTGGGGGCCAGGTGAGGGTATACACTGGTTGTCTGTACACAGTTACACACTGGGGGCCAGGTGAGGGTATACACTGGTTGTCTGTACACACCAGCACGCTGGGGGCCAGGTGAGGGTATACACTGGTTGTCTGTACACAGTTAGACGCTGGGGCCAGGTGAGGGTATACACTGGTTGTCTGTACACAGTTAGACGCTGGGGGCCAGGTGAGGGTATACACTGGTTGTCTGTACACAGTTAGACGCTGGGGGCCAGGTGAGGGTATACACTGGTGAGGTGTACAGTATACCACTGGCCCCTCACCCTTGGCCAGGCAGGTACACAGACAACCAGTTGTCTGTACACAGTTAAACGCTGGGGACCAGGTGAGGGTATACACTGGTTGTCTGTACACAGTTACACACTGGGGACCAGGTGAGGGTATACACTGGTTGTCTGTACACAGTTAGACACTGGGGACCAGGTGAGGGATATACACTGGTTGTCTGTACACAGGTACTGCCTTCGAAGGTGGCCAACCAGGTACAGATAACCAGACACTGGCCTTGCTCCTGTACACAGTAGCAGAGACCAGTATAATCACACTGGCCCCCAGCGTTGTTCAGGTACAGACAATCAGTGCATGCCTCTGGCTCAGTACACCCAGGTGAGGAGGGTATACACTGGTTGTCTGTACAGACAACCAGGTGAGGGTATACACTGGTTGTCTGTACACAGTTACACACTGGGGGCCAGGGGAGGGTATACACTGGTTGTCTGTACACAGTTACACACTGGGGGCCAGGTGAGGGTATACACTGGTTGTCTGTACACAGTTACACACTGGGGACCAGGTGAGGGTATACACTGGTTGTCTGTACACAGTTAGACGCTGGGGGCCAGGTGAGAGTATACACTGGTTGTCTGTACACAGTTACACACTGGGGACCAGGTGAGGGGTATACACTGGTTGTCTGTACACAGTTAGACTGGGGACCAGGTGAGGGGGTATACACTGGTTGTCTGTACACAGTTAGACACTGGGGGCCAGGTGAGGGTATACACTGGTTGTCTGTACACAGTTACACACTGGGGGCCAGGTGAGGGTATACACTGGTTGTCTGTACACAGTTACAGACTGGGGGCCAGGTGAGGGTATACACTGGTTGTCTGTACACAGTTACAGACTGGGGGGCCAGGTGAGGGTATACACTGGTTGTCTGTACACAGTTAGGCAGCTGGGGGCCAGGTGAGGGTATACACTGGTTGTCTGTACACAGTTACACACTGGGGGCCAGGTGAGGGTATACACTGGTTGTCTGTACACAGTTAGACGCTGGGGGCCAGGTGAGGGTATACACTGGTTGTCTGTACACAGTTAGACGCTGGGGGCCAGGTGAGGGTATACACTGGTTGTCTGTACACAGTTACACGCTGGGGGCCAGGTGAGGGTATACACTGGTTGTCTGTACACAGTTAGACGCTGGGGGCCAGGTGAGGGTATACACTGGTTGTCTGTGAGGGTATACACAGCTGCATCTGGTGTACAGACAACACTGGTGTCTGTACACAGTTAAACGCTGGGGACCAGGTGAGGGTATACACTGGTTGTCTGTACACAGTTACACACTGGGGACCAGGTGAGGGTATACACTGGTTGTCTGTACACAGTTAGACACTGGGGACCAGGTGAGGGATATACACTGGTTGTCTGTACACAGTTACACAGCTTCAGAGTATACACTGGTTGTCTGTACACAGTTACACACTGGGGGCCAGGTGAGGGTATACAACTGTACACTGGCCACTCTGTACACAGCAGTGTACCTGGCCTGGCAGCATAATTGCGTACAGACAACCAGGTGAGGGTATACACTGGTTGTCTGTACACAGTTACACACTGGGGGCCAGGGGAGGGTATACACTGGTTGTCTGTACACAGTTACACACTGGGGGCCAGGTGAGGGTATACACTGGTTGTCTGTACACAGTTACACACTGGGGACCAGGTGAGGGTATACACTGGTTGTCTGTACACAGTTAGACGCTGGGGGCCAGGTGAGAGTATACACTGGTTGTCTGTACACAGTTAGACACTGGGGACCAGGTGAGGGTATACACTGGTTGTCTGTACACAGTTAGACGCTGGGGACCAGGTGAGGGTATACACTGGTTGTCTGTACACAGTTAGACACTGGGGGCCAGGTGAGGGTATACACTGGTTGTCTGTACACAGTTACACACTGGGGGCCAGGTGAGGGTATACACTGGTTGTCTGTACACAGTTACACACTGGGGGCCAGGTGAGGGTATACACTGGTTGTCTGTACACAGTTAGACGCTGGGGGCCAGGTGAGGGTATACACTGGTTGTCTGTACACAGTTACACACTGGGGGCCCGGTGAGGGTATACACTGGTTGTCTGTACACAGTTACACACTGGGGGCCAGGTGAGGGTATACACTGGTTGTCTGTACACAGTTACACACTGGGGGCCAGGTGAGGGTATACACTGGTTGTCTGTACACAGTTAGAAGCTGGGGGCCAGGTGAGAGTATACACTGGTTGTCTGTACACAGTTACACACTGGGGGCCAGGTGAGGGTATACACTGGTTGTCTGTACACAGTTACACACTGGGGACCAGGTGAGGGTATACACTGGTTGTCTGTACACAGTTAGATGCTGGGGGCCAGGTGAGAGTATACACTGGTTGTCTGTACACAGTTACAGACTGGGGGCCCGGGGAGGGTATACACAGGTTGTCTGTACACAGTTAGACGCTGGGGACCAGGTGAGGGTATACACTGGTTGTCTGTACACAGTTAGACGCTGGGGGCCAGGTGAGGGTATACACTGGTTGTCTGTACACAGTTACACACTGGGGGCCAGGTGAGGGTATACACTGGTTGTCTGTACACAGTTACACACTGGGGCCAGGTGAGGGTATACACTGGTTGTCTGTACACAGTTAGACGCTGGGGGCCAGGTGAGGGTATACACTGGTTGTCTGTACACAGTTACACACTGGGGACCAGGTGAGGGTATACACTGGTTGTCTGTACACAGTTACACACTGGGGCCAGGTGAGGGTATACACTGGTGAGGTGTACAGACAACCAGTGTATACTGGTTACACCCCCAGCGTGTGGTTCAGTACAGACAACCAGTCTATACACAGTTAAACGCCTGGGGACCAGGTGAGGGTATACACTGGTTGTCTGTACACAGTTACACACTGGGGACCAGGTGAGGGTATACACTGGTTGTCTGTACACAGTTAGACACTGGGGACCAGGTGAGGGGATATACACTGGTTGTCTGTACACCTCACCAGTGTATACCCTCACCTGGTGAGGGTATACACTGTTGTCTGTACACAGTTAGACCTGCTGGGGAGCGATCTAACTGTGTACCAGACAACTATGCTCCTACACTGGTTGTCTAACTGTACAGACAGTTACCATACCCTGGGGCCAGGTGAGGTACAGACAATGGTTGTTCTGGCTGTACACAGTTAGTGTGTACAGACAACCAGGGGCCAGGTGAGGGTATACACTGGTTGTCTGTACACAGTTACACACTGGGGGCCAGGTGAGGGTATACACTGGTTGTCTGTACACAGTTAGACGCTGGGGGCCAGGTGAGGGTAGACACTGGTTGTCTGTACACAGTTACACACTGGGGGCCAGGTGAGGGTAGACACTGGTTGTCTGTACACAGTTAGACGCTGGGGGCCAGGTGAGGGTATACACTGGTTGTCTGTACACAGTTACACACTGGGGACAAGGTGAGGGTATACACTGGTTGTCTGTACACAATTAGACGCTGGGGGCCAGGTGAGGGGATGGACACTGGTTGTGGGAGAAGAATTTGGTATAACCGAACCCTCACTTGTTGTCTTTCTGGAATGTGATGATATTATCGATGATGGCGTGTTGCTGGATGAGGTGGTGCAGCTGTAGATCATGACACTGGCTCCAGAGGGTGGTGAGGCTGGCCTGGGCATGAACACGGGTGTTGAAGTGATGGGCCATACACCACGGCAACAGATGTGACAACGCCTGGTCATAGAAGTCACTCTGCAACACACAGCATGGTGGTCACATATCTACCACATTAACAGTCAATATTATCACAAAATAGTTCACAGAAACTTACCTGTAACTGTTTAGGTAGGTGAGGTCCACACCGAGATATAATGTGCATCAGAGAACACAGACTGAGATTCCTTTTGTCGTTGAACTATAACATATTGGCATAATTATACATCTGTCATTTAAGATTATTCTACATCAATATATCTTCCACAATATACAAGTGAATCATAAATGGAAAACATTAAAACAATCTCTCAAAAATTATTCATATCTAATATATTTTATACTGAATGTATATCCTGCATATCCTGCCCAGACTGGATAACACCTGATAACACCAAACCAAAGTTCAGAACAAAACATTATGTCCAAATGGTGACAAAAACCAACCACTACCACATCTCTTACTTAATTTAAACAAAATCTGTCCCCAAACCTGGATGTTTGTGGAGAATGATAGGGAACTATTTTCAGAACATCTTTAATCCTGTTTGATAATGTGACATACATAGGTTATGTTTGGAAGAGGTGTTTCAAAAGTAGTCAGGAGCAGTTTTGGAACTGGATAGATTTTGCAAGTCTTGTTTCGGCTTATTAGAATTATGTAATGCAGGATAAAGTATTTTAGATATTTACATACTTACCTCTATCATCTTATGCATACTTGCCTTACTCTTTGAAAACAGACTGCAGAAGTCGAGATCAACAGCTTGCTAACTTATTATAGTCATCCCTCGCCATAACGAGCTATAGTAACTATTACATAACGCGGGGTAAAGGCCAAGTAAAATCCTATTTCCAATGGACATAACAACACTGCTATTTCGTGTATTGTGCCCAGTGAAACCTATATCGTATCGTAGGTGAAAAAACAAACTTTGCAAATGAAAAAATGTAATTTTTCAAGTAAAATTGATATTTTTATACTTATCCTGACTCATTATCTTTTGCTTATCTCCCTTTCCCTTGCGAATGGTAGTGGAACACTTGAATCCCTTGAAGTTCCCGAAGAGGATGTAAAAATACACTCACCCACGAGTTACCTCCCTTTTGCCCTTTCCCGCGCAAACAATCATGTGACCAGCCTTACTTGTCACTCTCTCCTGATATTTCTGCCCATGCACTTGGATCTGCTGTGAAATCCGAAGTGTTTCCAGCAGGGAGGTTGGGAGGGCTCCTCGTCATGAGTCAGGATAAGTATAAAAATATCAATTACATATTTTTTCTTATCCTGACTCATCTTTTGCTTATAGAATCCAACGGTTTGGTGGTGGGTCAGGCCACTTCCTGGATTCATCAGCTGTCCTAAGAAACGTCCTGTATCTCCCCCCCCCATGGGAACTGCGTAGTGACATTTCCGAGATCCTATTCTTCCAACTTCCGTTATAACTCAGGGGACAACTTTCTTGTCCTACTTCCATCTCAGACAAGTTGAATCATCTTGATTCATGTGGCTTAAGATATACTAGTATCTTCTGTTTACTAGATATCTATAACAACCCATAGATTATGATAAGGTCTTTATCATAAATGAGTTGCGACCCCTTAATGTACAGGTAAGATCTTTACCCGTATATAGTTTTTAATCACTCATGCTAGTCTGTCCAGATGTTTTGTCAGGAACCGTTGCATCGGCCTTAGTTGTAACCTTCCTGTGCGAGTCAAGTCCTGCGCCGAGGTTAGTAGACTGAGTAGACATTGCCATGTTCGTAGTGTTAACGGAGAGATGACTGCTTGTGGAATCATGGCTTGTATCTTGACCCAATGATCTTCTGGGACCACAATTTGATTCTGTGTTGTGATAATTCTTATTCCCAGCAATTGAAGATCTTGCTTGATTCTAACTCCAACTTCATCAGGTTCACTATCCATCCTAGTTGCGTGAACAACTTAATTGTGAAGTTTAGCTGCTGTCTGAGTTGATTGGCACTTTGAAGAATCTGTATGCCATCGTCTGCATAGACCTTGATGCTGCAGATAGGTGCCGATAGGCTTGGTTATTCATATGAATAATCATAGAGCCGATGATATTCCAAACGGTAAGACGTTCCATTGAAAGTGCTAACCTCTGATTGCAGTGATGATACATCATTCTTCCCCTTATATACGCAGGCGATCTGTGTTGATCAGCATACATCGAAACTTTGTCTATTTATAGCAAGGCTGGCTCCAGTGTAGCATCGCAGGGGACAGGTACTCATACCGACTTATATCAGCGACAACTTCCAAAATAAACATCATGATGATAAAAGGCCGTCGTTGTATACTGTTTCCAAGGCTGCTGATGAAGTATTCCCCCGTACCACGGGTTTGTTTACAAATCAGTAAACTTGCTGGAGCCTGCTCTGTCAGTGGAAGGCGTTGTCTGACGTGGACCAATCAGCTTTAAGCATGACGTCACCGGTGTTGTAGCAAGTTGGCCTCCATAAAATCTGGTGCAAATAGTTGGTTGAGTAAAAGCGCGCGTAGTTCTACGCTGCTCATATAAACCTCTTGAATAAGGGTTGCTCCAAGTGTAAATCTTGTTCAGTGATATAAATCACATATTCCCATTGTGGATAATATAAGCCAGCATGACGAAGGAGGCTCTCGAGACGTATGTCTGTATGGATCTTGAAGAAATACCGATGTTGAATCTAGTTGATAGGATATAAAATCCTAATCCCCACGCTGAGTGACGAGCGTTAATTATATCATCTGTACGTCCGTTCAAGTTTTCTTGAAGGTGTTGTTAACCTTAAGCCCTTTACAAAGGTCGCCTTGAGGTTCTCCAGTACTTGAGATATTGGCTACATGGGTGATATCATATTGGAGTCGAAGTCATCAGTGTATATGCAGTAAGTGTCTGTTGGGTTAGAGTGAGTGAGTGAACGACAAAATCCACAGGCCATCTGCTATCCGGTATAAGACCTCAGCATCCGTGTAGATGAAAGGATTCCTTTCATCAAGTAGGTTGTCGTCCGAAACTGAACCTATACAGGTATAAGGTTTGTGCAGGTTGTAGAGTTGTGCAGGCTCTAAACTGTAGAGATCACACATGTTGTAGATCTTTTTGTTGAGTTATAAACTCTGACAAAACCATCCGTTTCATCATTGCTTCGTTTTATTCAGCCGTATGGTAATAGAGTCGACGTCAACATCCTGCCTGTTGATCTAAGGGTTCGTTAACCCTAGGGATCGCGAACCCTGTAGATGTCTGCGTTGCTGATATCTGCCTGTAGATCTGAGAGTTCACGAACATTGGAGATGTCTGTGTTACTGATATCTGCTTGTTAATCTGAGGGTTCTGGAATCCTAAGGTTCACGATCCTTGTAGATGTCTACATTATTGTAGATATCTGCGTTGCCTCTTCCCTAAACGTCCTCTCGCGAACCTTCCTTTTGCGAACCCGTCCTTCTCGAACCTCCATCTGTTGATTCCTCCCTTTGCGAACGTTTATCTTGAGAGTCCTCTCTTCGCGAACCTCTATCTCTGGATACATCTCTTCGCGAACCTCTGTGACGTGAGCTTTCTCTTTGAGAACCTCTGTCTTGATGAGTGACTCCCCGACCTTCTGTGAGAGATATGAGATCTCGATCTAGAGCGGCTTGGTGTAGGGGATGGATCCTTAGATGTTCTCAAACGTTGAGGGTTCGCAGATGTTGAAGTGTGAGTAGGCTTCTCATGTCTTCTATCCTCCTCCAAGATGACAGAGTCGTCAGACTGTGGAGACCTTCGCAAAGGAATACGTTCGCCAATGTAGTCTGGAGACGTAGTTCTCTGAGGAGTAGGTTCACGCAGGTGCGTAGGTTCGCACAGGCCAGTAGGTTTGCGCACATTGTCAGCAGATGAGAGGTTCCGTCGCATGGACCACTTTCTTGTCTTACTTCAATCTCAGACAAGTTGAATCATGTTGATTCATGTGGCTTCAGATGTACTAGTATCTTCTTATTACTAGATATCAATAACAACACATAGATTATGATAGGATCTTTATCATAAATGAGTTGTGACCCCTTTATGTGCAGGTAAGATCTTTACCCGTACAGGGTCTTTAATCACTCATGCTAGTCTGTCCTAGACTGTGCACATGGACTTTCAAACTAATACTTTTCCTTAGTAAAAGTTATCAACAAGTCAACGTGATAAAGGGTGAGATTTCCCAACTCAGCGCCTTTGTGGAACCGTCAAACAGCTGGCCTGCTGTGGCAGTTGCAGGAGACGATCTAGTAGTCGTGGAAGCCGGTGTCAACTGCGTTGTAGCCGATCTCTTCTTCGCCCCCTTCCCTGACTCCCCCGTTCCAGACGACTGCCCCTGCAACATACGCAACATAGCACCAGTATTATGAATTTCACCCGATCCATGGCAGCCGTAAGCAAGCAATATACAGTTTGCAGGCTGATCTCCTGATTTATCAGCCGGGACTTGTAATGACTTCCTGTTAAACAAGTTACATTACGATGAAATTATGCGCAAATAATTTTACAAAAGGGCAAAAGGAGGTAACTCGTGGGTGAGTGTATTTTTACATCCGCTGAAAAGGAAGAGAGTGACAAGTAAGGGGAACTTCAAGGGATTCAAGTGTTCCACTACCATTCGCAAGGGAAAGGGAGATAAGCAAAAGATAATGAGTCAGGATAAGAAAAAATTAGATGTATGTACTGAAAACTTGCAAACAATTGTTGTTCCTGTTATGCTACCTATTATTCAACTAAGCCGGAAATAGCAATCAGCTGTGCACAGATGTTTTGGTCCAATGTACCGGTGATTCAGTTAAAACGATCCGATAACATAGCATCAAAGGATTTCTATTTCATTATCAGAATAATTTATAATGAGTGAGTGAGTTTAGTTTTACGCCGCACTCAGCAATATTCCAGCTATATGGCGGCGGTCTGTAAATAATCGAGTCTGGACCAGACAATCCAGTGATCAACAGCATGAGCATCGATCTGCGCAAATTGGGAACCGATGACATGTGTCAACCAAGTCAGCGAAACTGACCACCCAATCCCGTTAGTCGCCTCTTACGACAAGATAGTCGCCTTTTTATGGCAAGCACATGGGTTGCTGAAGACCTATTCTACCCCGGATCTTCACGGGTCAGAATAATTTATATCTTAAACAGTTTAACAGAGATATTATATATTGCTTTCATTTAAGT